AGGCAAGCCGTGCCAATTTGATTCCACAGGAGACAAGTTGATAACCGATAAATGCAGGGCGCGTGGAACTTCAAGTTATGTGAACCACACCGACGAATAATTAATACTCGAAAGAACACTAAGGACAACTATCGTTCACTGCATCTACGTTTTTCAGTTAGAAAGGGTTATTTCTAAACCACTCGGTGTCCTATCCTTTGTTCAGATTGCATTACATATTGCATTTGTTCATATATATTGTTCATTATAAGAATATCCAATGGAACAGAACGGACAACCGAAGCCGGTCATGTTCGTGAGATTATTTTTACGCAGCCTTGGTTAAAAAAACAAGTCACCTTTGACGACGCTTGGCGTGTTGAATGGGTGCTGATGCGAAATTGAATTTTCAGTACTAATCGCTTCACTCCTTCCCATCTTCGTGAGTGAAACACAGATTATGAGTGATTGCTTCTCGTTAGTAGTTTAACCACAGCACATCTTCTGTCTTCTAAAATTATACCACAACCGCTATATGCATCACAGCCGTTCATATTGGGATTTTACTCGCCGTTAGATATTGTCGATTTCCGATAGGATGTCCATAGGATGTGAGAATCTGCGCATCATAAACTACGCTACAATTGCTTGAAATTAAAGGAAATAGAAGGAAGTTTTCTAGTTTGAGTTGTCTCGATATCATTATTGCATGACTGGACGTCAGTTCAGGCTGATCTAAGAGGTTTCCTGGCATTACCCTACCGGAGTCACCGGAGCCTACCTAAATGGTTTATACTGGCTTAGCAGTATAGACAATTGAAACGGACAAGATGCGCCGCAGTTCAAAGAATTAGACGTTCTTAGTGAGTCTGATCACTAGACGTTCACTGTATACGCCGAAGGGAATGACTACATTGGCTAAACCTGGGGTGTTTGTTCGGATCAAGCAGTATTGCTGCTTTCAGTCGTACATTCTGTTCCAGCTACCGCCGTCCATTGGCACATAACAGAAAAGCTGTTCCCGTAAGCATTTGTACAACATTAGTACCTGAGCAAAAGTTATACTTTTCCATCCCCTATCTTAGTACAATCCGCCTAGTTAGGATCATAATGGATATATGAAGTGATACCATAGAGATCTCTTGGGTCATCTTAGAAAGTTACAGAATCACAAAAAGATAGTAGTTACGCATATAGCAATGATATCGAGACATCTGTCAGTAGAAAAGCCGTAGTATAATCACCGTTAATTAGCTTTTTTTGAAAAACTCAGCTCAAGCCTGTTTCTTCATTATTAAAGAGGTCACTGTTGTATCAGATTCTATCGTTGTGAACCAGTAGTGCGGATGTCGCAAGGGCTGTTCGTTCAGAAAACCAATACATGGGTTATGTGCTTCAACACGACAACAAACGAACACACTCATTTGTATGATGTATGTCGTGCCTAAAGTATCAACCTATTGTGACTGCATGATTAGATCTACAGTTCCGTTAACATTAGTGTCTTGACTCCGGCAACTGTATCAGAAAGAATAGATAGACATGAGCAATTATCACTGTAGTGTTAAATGATAACATCAATCAGTCATTTAATGTAGTGGGATTATCATTAGTAAATGAGCTAATACCATACACGTTTAAGTCACCTTAAAACTCATAGTCTGTCCAAATCGAATTTTCAAAAATTCAAACATCTATCTAAATCGTATTGGGAATAGCAGTCGTAACGCCAATAGACTAACTGTAAAAACTCACACGCTTTGGAAATCTGTATATAGTTAGCAATTTTTTCGTGAATCAATCCTAGTCATTAAATACGGTTTTTTGATTTACATACTAGCTGGGCAATATGATGATCTGAAAAAAATCAACCATAGTCAAGACAAAAAACGGTTATCAGAATTCGTCTGATGGAAGACTCCTTATGACACAACATCGTGTTGTCGAGCTGTGAAACCAGAATCCCTATTCGGAAAACAACATAGTTCCCATACAAACGTCACGTGTATTTTTGTTCAATACAGATCTTTAGTCGACAGTTCACCCTTTGAGTCGATTTTCCTCAGTACCGGCTCGTTTGACTTCTTCCCGTTTTTTGTACTCCAGCGGTTTTATGCTTTGACCACCAAGTTAGTTTAGATTTTGACATATGGTTACGTTGTATTTAGAGATTCAGAATTTTCTATTTAGGCTGCATGATCAAACCAAACTGGGAATCAATAACCTTTGAGGACAAGTCGGTTCAAATAATCTCAGTGTGCCTGTTTGTGCAATTCAGGTGAGCTCATAGTTGAAGTGTATTCTTCCACATTGACTTGATGTTCTTCAGCGCCTTCCCAGCATGGAATACGTGCATTTAAGCAATGGCGGATGGCACAAGCATTGTTTATTTAGGATAGCAATACATGGGTTAAGAGTTCAAACAGGACAACAAACAAAAACACTCATCTGCGTACGGTACTGGGCCCAGGCCGTCACGATTGCCGCAGATGCCAATGCTCAGTTCCTTTACGTACCAAGAGCCATTTCATTCGATGCTGCACTCCAATGTTTTTTATGGTGTTTTTCTTACGAACATTTCATTGTCAAAATATCTGATCTGGCCCACTACTGAACAGCAGTGGTGTGAGTAGTATAGCACGATCGCTCCTCCTCACTACACCAAGTAAACGGACCTGCAAATTCTGCTTACTCAAAAAGCGTCCGCCTAGTTTACTATGGTAAGCGGACTAAATCAATAATAGATTATTTTGACTCCGTTAATCCATCCTCTAGTTTATTTGTTTCGATCCAGACTTCTTCCAATTACTGACAGAGTCCACTTCTCACCCTTCCCATTACAAGAAAGTGGGATTATCTGGACACTTTTCGAACAGTTACTACCGTCACATTTATTTCCTTTTAGGCTATCTGACCTCCATCCTCTAGTTTCGGTGACAGTGGGCCTCTCTAACCAATCGGATTGCATTACAATGACACATATTCGAACATGACTAGCAGTAGGTGTTAGCGATGCTTAATGTTTTGCTGATAGTCAACTTTTGTTTTCTACTGGCAGATAGATCAAAACATTGTTTTACCAAGAGACTGTGGCTCTACGGTTTGTTGAACTACTCTGAGAATCACAACGTATATTTTTCTTTAAGTACTGTTGGAACTGTTGAATTTCGTCTGACACGTTT